TCATAGAAGTCCTGAACTCTATGCCATAGAATGTGTTCAAAGCTACCAAGATGGCCGACAGAGCTGACTCAGTCACACCAGTTCTGTCAGGAGGAATAGGCCAGAAAGTGTCCAAAATGTTTGACCCAAATCACTGAGGCTATTTGTTTCAGCCAAAAATATCCTTTTATTCTGGCTGAAGCTACTCTAAATTATTTGGGCAATTGCCCTAAAATGGACCTAAAACACAAAATATTTAGTCTGATTTTATGGCAGATTGAATGAACGAATTTGTTGTGCAATGAATTGGATAAATCGTAAAGTTTGGACAAAAAGTTTAAGTGAATCCAGAGCCGTACAGTGTTGGTCTAGACTTACAGTCAACTCGTTAAAGAGTTAAAAATAAGCAATGCTGTTGATGCCTATGGCTTCGTAGTGATTGACTCTGCTTCCGTTGCCCGACACACAAACACCTGCTACTGACATTCATGTAAAAGAGTCTTGTCTGATTTGTATACTAACCATGTTTTCCTAAAACTAGCCACCTTTTCACTCAATTTCATGACTATCACATGTCCTTGATCGTGCTGTGCAGCCTCTGCTTTGATCTGCTTTTTGCACTCCTCTTTCATCCTTTGCTATCTGAGTTTCAGCGATTAGATCCATGTGGGCAGTGACGAACAGAAAAAATGAAAAAAACACATTAAATAAAGACATTACTTCATATACACTAGAGCCCAAGTCAAAGCAGGGTAGATGATTAAACATACTTTATTGTATCTTGAATTATTGTGCCTGAATATCAAATGTTCTGTGCTTTTTCAAAAGTCAAAATGGATTCCATGGTCACATATTTTAGCTAATTTCATTAGCTATCCTCAGTGACAATAGAATTGATTTAATTAAAGCTTATTAATGCACTTAGGAACATTAGAGTGTAAGATTTAGAGATGCCAAATGATATATTTCAATATTAAATCAGCGGTTTGTGCTCCGGATTCTGTGCTTTAGCTAACAGTATGTAAGGAATCCACTGTCTCTTTCCTTTCTTAGTTCTTGGCAAAAGCAGAAGGAAATCCAAGCTCAGCAGCGTTACGTCAAACTGTAAGGCCACCCTGAGCCATCATGTCAAGCCCCAGTGTTTTATGTTATGTTAACCTGCAGGAGGGAGGGACACAGAGCACAGATAAAACGATTCAATGTCATAAGGCCAGCATTGAAAACCGTCATTGCCCGAGATCAGAGGATAAACAAACAGATGTCAGCAGCTGCAGAATGTGGAGACAGGAGAACAGGTGAGTGTCCCACCTTCATTTTCCCACTTCCTTCAGCCATCTGGCCTGCAGGCGCAGCTCCAGAGGCTGAACATGAAACTGACGAGCAGCGAGGAATTAAGCTTACTAAAGGTAACACAAGCTGTCATTAGCCTCCTCACTTCTTTCCCGCCCCTCCATCCATCTCTCCTCTCATGCTATTTAAAGCTAATGCTGCTCATACGGCAGCAGACATGCCAAACAGTGACTAAAGTCCTGCTCACATAATTAATCTGAATTTGAGGTTCCTGTGGTGTTTTTTTGTTTGTTTGTTTTTTTGTTAAGGTCACCACCCAGGGCGCCATAATCTGTGGGGCAGCACAGGTAACTGTCAGATTAGCACCAGATTTATTAACTGTTTCTGTTATTTTATGCCTTGATGTTTTTAAAACTCAACAAACATATTTCTCTGATTGAAATATTTCATTGCTGCATAAACAATACATTTATCTTCCCAGGTGCCTCTTGAAAAATAAATTGTAGATCTGGAAGAGTTTTTTTTTGTCTGATTAAATAAAGGTTATTATTCTTACAATTAATGAGGTTTTGATTTGTATTTCACTCGTCCGTTCAGTTTGGAGAAGTATTTCTGTGTTGTTCCCAGTGTAAACATCCTTAAAAATGTTTAAATGAAATGCTCCTCTGCCTGGCTAATGACTCAAAACTTTTCCAGAAATCAATTCCTAATTAAAGAGTGTATGTTTCTAATCCAAGATACATATAAATAAGCATTGCTTATTTACCTTAAAGTAAATAGGCAGAGCTTAGCCTGGTGATGCGCATGTAAAGCCTGGTGGCCCGCCAGGCTTACAATACACCTGGAGAAACCGTGTAATGATCTATGGGGGAAATAGTTTTGATACAGTTCAAAATATAAATAAAACAAATTAATATTTTTAGGGTGCAGAAGAAGAGTCACATGCTGAATGACCAGGTAATTCAGGTAAAACAACAACAACAATATACCAAACTAGTTGATAAACATATTGGTTTTTAGTACAATGTTCCTGTAGGGAACTGTACAATTTGTAATTTAGCTCTGGATTTACGGAGCATTTTTAAGTATTTGACAGTAAACACTACCGCTAATGCTAACACCTGATGTAGATCTTAGAGGCTGGGATGCTAATGCTAACAGAGAGTGGTGCAGGCATCCTGATGAAGGTAATGTAAAAGTAGAGTGAGGACATGTGAGCGAATTTTATCACCATTACAATTTTGACCAATGACATCACATTAGTGTGTTTTTCTAAAACGCTGCAGCGCTAATTAGCAGTACGGAGAAGCAGCACTTACTTAATATGCTCCACTTTAATGCAACAAACTTCCAGAAAACTGCAAAACAGTTGAAACTCCACCTGCTGAGCGTTGTCTTCAATTAATTGTAACTGAAACATTGATTAATATTTGATGTACTTGATGACAAAATGTGGCATTTATTGCTCGTTTCATTACTGCATTGTGTTGAAATGCGCTTTAGAAATGAATTTAACTTTTTTGCATAGAAAGTTGGCATCACTGCAAAAATATTCCTGACTTTTCACAAGTCGTGTTCTATTCTGGAAATCTCTCCTGAGATTACAGCGGAGCCTCTCTGTCTTCATCCCATAAGGTAACATTACATAATCTGATGGCTGGCTCCTCCTTAACACGCAAATCACACTTTTCTGCACGCACAATCTACCTACTGCGAGCATAACGTGCATAAATGTGAGCTGTGAAGGATAAAACTTGAAAACTTTGTTCTAGATTACGTACTGGACAATATAGGAGGTGGTAGATTTAGCTTTGACCTATTTCCAATTGAACCAATTACTAGATGCATTTAGACACAGCAAATGTACAAAAATGTAGGTTTTATGAGTTACCAAGTTTGATTGGCCAGGTTTTATAGAACATCCAAGATGCTTAGCTGCAGTTTATTGTTAACCACGCCTTACTTGTTGCTTTCTTTTCATTCCCAACTCTTCTTACCCTGGAGATGGTGAGGGGCATGTTGAAGTCCTTTCCTCCCTGTAGCCTGAAGCCATACGGAGCCGGGCCGTTCAGAGTCACTGTGTACGTAGTCATCTTCTGCTTGATGTCAGCACTCCTCCTGCGAACGGCACTTTCTCCCCCTTATGCCTCGCTGCCGGTTATCCTTTCCGTCCCGGGCCTCAGTCCCCTGGTGGCTGCAGGATCCTCCACCGCCCGTTACTGGCTTCACAGCCGTCCCTCCTCGTCTGAGTCCAGCTCTCAGGACAAAGGCCACAGGGAATGGTGGTGGTGGTGGGTAGGTGGGTGGGTCAGGTGCTGTGAACCTCTGAGACACACACACACACACACACACACACACACACACACACACACACACACACACACACACACACACACACACACACACACACACACACACACACACGCACACACACACACACAGATAACAGGGTGCAAAGCAAAGCTGAGCCACTCCAGATTAACAGAGTCTCAGCCTGAAACCAAAAACTACCGAGAAACACAGAATCTGTGTGGATTGGGAGCTTAAAAAGCTACTTTTTAACACAAAATTGAGGTGAAGGAGGATTTCTTGCCTGCAGGGTTGGTGAGGTTGAGGGACACACAGGCTAAGAATAGCAGAGACATAGCAACAGAGACACGGGGACCTGGGCCCCGTATAAGGCCTGTAACACGAAGCCCCAGAATGCTTCACTGCCCGATTCACGTCGCTAATATAGACCCCTCTTACTGCAACACATTCTTCCTCTCTCAGTGCTATCGCTTCACGCTGCCAGCACCTTATTATCTGTAATCAGGTTTTTGGTGCGTCGATGTTTAATTCTGCATGAGAGAGTAAACAACAAACTGACATCTTGGAAACAAACCTGGCAGGCTGTTGCTGCCGCCTGTTCGCCGTAGATCTGTGCGTTTGTCATTTGGAGCAGTTTAATTAGCAGTCAGCCACAGCTGTTAAGGTTAAATGAAGGGGAAAAAATGCTGATTATTTAATGGGTGGTTACAAGCTGCCCTTTTCTAAATGTCACCTCCAGATGTTTCTAGGAACCAGTCACCTGCAGCCACACATTTAAAATCAAAGGCTGTGCAAAGGTGTGATGTTGTGAATCAGATTTTTTTATGCTTTTGATTTTCAGCTCTTTATATTCCAATATAAATACAGAACAAAGAAGATAATAATAGCTTTTGACTTTTGCTACATTTTTTCTTCTACCAGAGCAAAGTTGAAGGACAAAGACCCAAAACTTCTCTTCGGTGATTTAACTCTTCTAATTTTGGACCAAAACACTAAAGAAACAACGTTTGCCAATTCAAATATGAGGCAAATTAATAAAAATACTTCCAGAATCTCCTGCCAATTAACTCTACCTGGTAAATTTGGTAAATCCAGACATTAAAAGGACAGGAAGTAAATGCACCGGGGTCAAGATGGGACAGAAATGGTGAAAATGGCTCCATCATTTCTAAGACACGTCACACTCAACAACACATTTCCTGCTCTGAAGCTAACAGTGGCCGTTCTGATTATCCTCAGTATCAACAACCAAAGACATGCAAACATAAAACCAACAGAGCACTTACTGTGATAGCCCCCCTTTCTGATGCTGCCCTGGGTAACCGCCGTATCAGAAAGCACCGCTGCTTTTTGTAAACAATCTGAATAATATGAAAACCTACATAAAGACTCCAACAACACTGCAGAGTTTGGCATCATTTTCCTTTTATAAAAAAATAAATAGAAACACAAACATTTTATACAAAGACAACAAAATCACAGAAATCATCACTTCAGTAAAGCAGAATTTAAATTCAACACATCTAAAACACTAATACTTAATTTGACAATAATTTACCAGTAATGCTCATAATATATGCTTTTCTTTTTTATTTTTATTTTTACAGATTTACTGATAAAATGCTTTTAAAAAAAGCAACAAGTGGGATAAAAGTTTGATCATTGTTTTACCACAGTGTCAATATAATATTTGATTTTATCATCATGTATGAAGAAAACAATTACAATACAATCATAGTCAAAGACGTCCATGTAAATGTACATTAGTGGAGATAAAAAGCTTCGAAATGTTGAACCTGAACTGAATTAAGAAAAGAAAGAAAACTAGGTAACTCTTTATTTTAAGAGATTTGCATAAGACTGACATCAACATGATGCAACTCCTGTTATGACATGATTGAAATGTTATATAACGTTAAATAACAACACTTTTAATGCAAAGGTATACTAAAAGCTGACAATGTCAAATTTATTTATATAGCATTTAAAAGCAGGTGTAAAACTGCACCAAAGTGCTGTAAAATATTAATAAAGTAAGTTGATGAAAAGAAAAAGAGAAATAATACAAGAAAGCAATCTGTATGTATTAAGATAATAAGAGAAGAGCTACAGTATCAGGCCTCAATTGAATGCCAAATAATAAAAATGAGTTTTAAGAAGCGATTTAAAATGATCCATGCTGTGGGCAGATCTAATCTGGATTATTCCAGAGAATAGGAGCAACAACAGAGAAAGGTCGATCACTTTTCTATCGAGTCCGAGGGACTTTCAGTAGCAGCCGAATATTTGACCTTAAAGTTCTAGACAAAGAATTAAATTTCAAAAAGATCCAGAAGATAAGGAGGAGCTTTAAAACTTTGTAGGTCGTTAAAAGAATTTCATAATCTATTCAATATGAAACAGGCAGCCATTGCATTAAAAGTTGATTAAAAGTGTTAAATTTGCATTATTCAGTAAATAATGACTCTTTTAATGCAAAATAAGTGTCATTATTTACTGAATGACACTTTTTGACAACAGCAATGAGCATTCATGAAGACTCCTTCATGTTCATAACAGGAATGTTTATGACACCCCTTCAAATAAAGTGTTACTGAAAACTTAAATGTCAAAAAAAAAATCCATTTAGGTAATAACACAAGTTTGGTCTCACAGAGAAGGCAGATAAACAGACTCAGTTTCAATTCAAACCTGTCATAATTGATCGTAATGGGAACTTTTCCACGTCTGTTGGCACACGTTTACATTCTGGAGCCAAAGGAGCTGCACAAAATGTGCAAAACAAAATTATTATTGGCTTAGAAAAGAAATGTGTGCACAATATATTTTCAACACTTCAAGGAGTTTTAAGGCCTTAATCCACCAGCAAATAGCATTAAAGTTATTGGGGAATTAATAAAAAACACTTTCAATTTTTACTGGTCCAAATTTACGATCAAGCATTTAACATTATCAACAGTTTAAGCCAAGAGTTGATTTTGTTTTAATGTCAGTTTGTTTGACAAAACAAAGCAATAAAAACTGGTTTTACGTGGATGTTTGCTGTGAAATATACGCTTTCTGTTTATTTACTGCCGTTTCACACCAAATGTAATGTAATTTCATCTTCTTTACTTTGAATAATGTGGAAAATTCAAGTTTATTTCTGCTTAGTTCTATTGTATTTTGAATTTGTTTACTTTCATTAAATTTTTATGCCAATACTGTTAGTGATACATTTTGATTGTTTGCCACAATTTCATATTTCATTATTAAATAAATGGAAATTTATGTTTTATCTTCATTTATTTGTTTTGCAGTTGAAGTACTGTTCGTATTTCAGTTGTAGTGTTTTTAAAGTATTATTATCTTCCGTTTATATTTGACATTTTGTCATTAAAATTATGCAAAATAAAAGTTTGGCTTGAGAACATTAGTTGCTTTTGGAAATTACATAACTTTTTGCTTATTTTTTATGGAAATACTGCATATTTTTATGTTAATATTTAAGTACATAGCTAGAAAATTCATATAAAGTTCAGGTCATGAACTGTGTGCAAAACTTATGATCGGATTTCAGATTTTTATTTATCAAATTATGTTTCCTACCAAAAAACTCCACAAAAAAAACCTTTAACAGCCACTCAGTTTATATACAGGAAACATAATCTGAAAAAAATAAAACTAGTAGAGAAATGCATCACTCGTTAAATAACTCCATGTTTAAATAACATTTTTCACAATACTCGACACAGTGATTTTAAGGCTATTTTGTTCCTTTCCTCTTTGAGGTAAATCATCTTCAATGACATGAAAACCACCTTCCTGCAAATGGGCCGATGTGTGCAAAACGATGCACAAAAATAATCAGAACTAAGAAAAACAATACAACAAAGAGAAATATTATGAACTAGATGCTTTGCTTTAATCATATGAACATAAATACTCTTATAAAATCACAGAATGATGCAGCAAAATTAAATAAATTAGTTCTGATGAGGACTGAAAATAACCTTTAAGCAGATAATGAGCGTACTTTTCTTTAAGCCCATATTTCTGTATTAAATTAATTTTTATTGGTCTGATGTAACATTCAAATCTTCATTAACTAGAACAGAAATTAAAGCTTAAAACCTCAATCTGTAGATAATTAATCTATACTTAGATTAATTATTTATCCACTTTAGTGAATTGAGGTATTTAAAACATTTTAAATTTAAAATTATTCTAATTCATTAAATATTCCTGTACATTTTCCATTATAAGACTACAGCCACTTCCTGTAAATGAGTGTTTACTATCACTTTGCTTAAAATCGACTTCACTAGACTTTAATTTGTATTTTTTTCTGAAGTTTTTGTAAGAAATTAGACACCTTTAAGGTAAAAACTGTCCAAGCAGGTGAGGATGAGGATATGACGTCACACCCGAGGTAACGGCGACGTAGTTAGAAGCGGGAAATTCAACATGGCGACGCCCACAGACTTTGTTTGCGGCGCCTCTTGAAAACTTGACTTTAATACTGAAGGTTGCAGCAACAGCTGGGCGAGAAAGCGGCTCAAACAAACAGAGAAACCCCAAGACGATCCTTGAGTTTCAACAACAAGACGGCGAGTTTAGTGGCTTTTAAAAACCGTGGCGTTGATTCATTAAGACCGGCTCGAACACACATCACCTAAATCTTCTGGGAATTCAGGCTCACATATTTTCATTGCATGCAAAGGGAGCCATAACGATCAGACAGCATGCTGGTACAGGTCACTCCTCAGAAGGAAGACGTGGTGACGCAGTAGTAAGACGTTCACGGTAACGCCGTCGTCTCCAGTCTGGCGATGTCGAGCAGCTCCTTACTAACCGGAGTGACGGTTTTGGCAACTTTGAGGCTGCCGTGGAAACCGGGAGGACTGTGCAGGATGGACGGGGTGGATATGGAGGTGACGATGATGGACGACGGGTTCTTGGACGCCGTCTTTGGTCCCGGTTCCCTCGTCATGCTGTCCAGCTGTGGATGATTAGGTAAACTAAACTTTATAAAGGAGAGGCGGTGATTGCACTGCAAAAAAAATCTTACCAAGTCTAGTTTCTAGTGCAAATATCTTAGTACATTTGAAATAAGACAAAACTGTCGTACAAGTAATTTTTAGCAAGAAATTGAGGCTTTTTTTAAAGTCAATAATTCGTTAATACTGAAGGAAAAGTTTTAGTTTAAGATCCAACTCTCCATATCAGAGAGTATTTATTATTTATTATCATTATTGTTTCCAAACTGAAGCAGATCTTAAACACAACCACTTCACACCTTTTTTTGACTGATGGGAGGAAACTCTGCTGTGTCTGGCTGTAAAATCAAGAGGAACATGAACTGAAGTGGAAACAGATTTTTTTTTTTTTTTGGTGCAGCAGCAGTTAAAACATTTCAATATAAACAGCAGACATTTAAGGACTGGTTGGAATTAAATGAAGACAAAATAAAAGACTTAAGTGTCTTTAAAATGTTTTTTTTGTGATGAACCAAGTGCATGCAGTTAATTATTATAAATATTGTTTTTAAAAGTGTCACTTATTCTTATATAAATTAGAAATTTAATGCTTCAGCATTTTCTTGCAAACAGAACAGCATGTATTTACATCTCATACAGCAATGTACTTTAAATTTAACTTCTTTACTAACAAACAACGTCCTGTAATATGTGCTGTAATTCGATAAAACAGAGTATGAATTAAATAATTTTGCATGCAACCATGAAATGTAAAATATGAAATAAAAACAGAAATTTCTCAGGACAGAGACAAAAGCAAAAGTTAAACTATATCTGATGATCATCGTTGTGTGAGCATAAGCAGCGTGAATCTGTTGATGATTTAGTTATTTTAATGTCTGTCATGAACAATTAGTGGATTCTTACAGTAGCAGGCAGATGGCTGGTCGGCGGCCGGCTGATCTCCAGCATGCAGATGTCTTCAGGCTCCGTCAGAGTCTGAACAACACGTAAATAAAAACAGTTTCAGTGTCAAACGATGTTCTGTGGCTCCAAGTCAGGATCAGACAGAAACCTGCTTCATTTAGGGGAAATCAGCATGCAAAGCTCAAAATGTTTCAACTCGGATTCTCACCTACAGCAAATTTGATATATAAAAAGTCTACACAGTTTTAGTGATAATCCAAAAATTTAGTTTTTTTCATGTTTTTAACTGGAAAACAAACAAGTCTGTTAAAATGGAAAACTAAAGAAATACAGTGCTAGATTACATGAATAAGTAAAAGAAGCAGGACTTTCCTCATATTTCTGCACTTGAATTTGTTTAACTTTTTAAACTTGCGAGAGTTTAGAAAACACATTAAAGTCAGGCAACATTAATTAATGAAAAGAAATAGATATTTGTTATTGTCCCGATTCTTCCTGTTTGTATTAAAACTGTTGTAACGTTTATAAAATATGTTGTTGTTTTTTACATATTTGCGACACTCTGACCAGCACTGCTCCCCAAAAATGACCTAAACATCTACAAGCAGTGTGACACTTCTATTTCTAATTGATTTTTGGCTGCATTTATTACTGAATCCTGTGTACATATTCTTTCACACGCAGCTGATAAGTTCATATTCAAGTACAATAGAAACTCTAGCAACTTTTGTGCTGAAATTTCTCTGAACAAATGTTTACATAATCAGATGCAACTTAAGAAAAGCAAACTTTGGGTTTAATTGAAAAAAAAAGATGAGGGTCATAAAATGTCATGCACTGCAGCGATATCGCAAGTTTTGTCTGCAAATACAACTCTGGAATGCGTTTGCAGACATGGAAGGAAGAGGAGGAAAGAAATGTGACAGCAATTTGTCACAGTTGTGTTTTCCATTTTTGTGTTTCCTTTCCTGTCTGCCATCACAAAACACTTTGATATGTGGGAAACAGCACTACGAGGCAAACCATGCGGCTCCTTTTGTTCAAAGGAAGGATAGTTTCTGCTGATGACGAGAAATTATGTTTACTGTGTTCATGATGCGAGAGATTCTGGGAGCCTTTTGTTTGTTTTTCTTGTTTTTTACGTTGGGTAGTTTGGTTTAGTTCCACCTCCTCTCAGATGTTTTGTTTGTTTGATTTGAATCCACACAAACACAGATATATATCAGAACAAGTTTAAACAATATTTACACTCATAAAATTTGTTTTAATGCCTTTAAAAATAAATATATATATAAAAAAACTCTTGTCTTTTGGTGCTTATGTGTGGAATAGATACTCAAAGACAACTAAAAACAAATAATCAGATGTCCATTTTTCAGATATCCATCCTGATATTATACACTAGAAACCCCAAAAGTGAATTTCAACATATTTTTTTGCTTTTTATTGACTTTGTTTCCATTAGACTGAAAAAGCGACAGAAAGGGGAAAAAAACACCAGCTACAATATCTATGTTGCGTTATTTGACCCAGATCTGCTTTAGCCGTGCTGAGAAGCTTCTTCTATTGAAATTTGAAGTTGTTGATAATGTCGCCACCTACTGACAAACAACACATACTGCAGCCTTCCTGAGTGGAATCTAAAAGGTAAAGGTGAAAAATTTTGTAAAAAATGTCAATAGTGTTACTGTCACTGTAGTTTGTTCGTTGTTGCCTGCTGGGCTGATGGTTTGCTTCACATTGTCTTTTTTACTAAACTAATACAATGCTCCTGCAGTTTTAGCTTTAATTTGAAAATTGACACTTTTAGATGCCATCTGAACTTTGCTACATCTGTGTTACATTAGCAGGCTGAGGATCCTAAAAGCATAAAAAAGGCATAAAGTAATGGCAATTTACAGAAAAAAAGCAGAGTGGAGAGAAACGGGAGACACAACAATGAAAACAATTTAAAAGGCAAACATTAACATAAATTTACACAAATGAGTTACATTTAGCTATTTGTAGCCAGTGTTGAGTCATGTACTTTAAACCTTCAGCTTAAAATATTTCCCTATTATGCAATGATATTAAATGGTATTTATTTCTAAAAAAAAATTCTGAAAGGTTGGTGAACAAATATTGGGTGGTGAATTCATAGATTTTTTTTTATGTTTCTGTTCTTTAATCACACTTACATTTTTAAGGCGATAACAAAATGTACATATAAGTCCCAGATAACCTGAATACACAGGAGCAGCTCTAGAATAGTTAACAATTTTACACAGGCATAAAAGTTATCAAAACCAACAAGGCTCTGGGTTAATTGCCTTGTCAATTTATAAGTTGTTTCATTTTTTACGCCTCTGTGATAAAAACCTTTGGCTGAATCTCAAACACTCTGTACAGATTTCTGTGACAGATCAAAATGCCTCTGCTGCATGTTTTCTCAGCAGCTGTAAGCCTCAGGTGTCTGCACTGACCCCAAACAACCTTTTCTCACACTTCTGTTTCCCAGTGAAGGTGTTCATCTGATTTGTAATCTGACCTGTTTAGGTTTGTTGCAGATATTATTCTACTGACGTCACTCCTAAAGGCGACCTACTTTGCTTCCTTGAACAGGTTAGGGTAGATTTTTTGCACAAAATTACTCTTAGGTAATGAGATTTCAGTCGATTTCCACTTCCTTTCAAAATGAGACGTTTTAGAGGCCCCTTTCACTTTAAATCCAAATAAGCTGCTATTGGCCACGTCCAATTCAACGTTTGCACTCGCATGTGAAAATGGCTGCAAACAGAAGTGCTTCTATACAACCATTCATCTTTGAAAAGCAGAAGCGGAGCCTGCTGTGCAACAAACACGGAGGCAGAAAGTTGCTTCTGGATGGTAAGTCAACAATAAAACACTCGCCTTTTCCAGCAGCCATTGTAAGGGGCATACAGCGATAAAACCAGCTGCCCAAATGTGCTGGGGTTGCTAGTTAACAGGAAGCTCCTGCTGATTTGTCACGTTAAATTCGGAAAGTTTTTGAAACGGCTCCTTTTACAGAAATAAAAGAAAAAAAAAACAGCTGGGTGTTTTTGTGTTTTTTCTAAGCGCCTGGGATGTTTTTAGAAGCAGCTGAGATCCAAATGGAAGTACAAAAACATGCAAAATGTGAATTTTTAATGTGAATCTATAAAAAAAAAAACTTTAGGTGTAGAAGTTTATAGTTTGTGAAATGACAATCCGGATTTTGAATTCAAGGAAAAAATCTATCCTCGTCATCTGCTGTGGAGATTAAAGAACCAAGCGCCTTCATCTATCAGTTGCTGCCGTATGCTGAAACATGAAATTACATCATGCACACTGTGGATTAAAACTGAAAGTCCCAGATTACTGGATTAGCGCTCGGTCTCTCTGCAATGGACTCCTTGGTAAACCTGACCTGAATGGCAGGCAGCCCATCTGTGAGAGTCTGTGTGACAATCTAAATAGGTTATTCGCACTTTATTCTTTTTTACACATGATTACAGACGGACAGAAATGCTTTATATCTGTTCCACAATGTTTTCCAGGCACTTTAATTTCTCAGAAAGCAAATTAAGAAGTGGAGCATCTGATGAGTTTTTATTCCTGCTTGAAAAGTTTTATCTAAGACAGACAAAATAACAGGATTGGTTTGTTTCATTTACAGAAAACGTTCGAACCTCTTTAATTTGCTCTAAATAGTGTTAAAAAGTGGATGTGGTAGGAGGAAAATGTTTCAATGGAGTTATCAAGATTTGACTTGTATGTTTATCTTAAATGATTCTAGTCGCTTGAAGTCCTACGGCTCGCATATGTTAATTTATAAAACCAACCATAACTTTACCAGAAGCTCAGTTTTCCTCAAAGGAGTTTGGAATAGTGTTGTCAAAGAAATTGCATAGAAATACTAAACTACAACTTAATTCTCTCATTATTGAAACTCTATTCTCGTATTAAAAACAAAAATAAAACCTTTTATTCTGATTCTAATTTTTCTTTTGAGAATCACAGACTGAGCAATCTTGATTAAATGCTACTAATTGAGTTATAAAACTGAACTTAAGCCAACAAAATTAAGTTTCTGCAGCACATACTGTTAATCTGTTTTAAAAATCAAGTTATAAAATGCTGGTTTGTACAGATAAATTATTAGATATTATCAGATTCTCGATCGTATTTCAGTTCAGGGGATTTAAACAGTTTCTCAAGGCAACACTGGAGGGGATAATGCAGAGTGAAGATGGTAATAACAAAGCAAGCAATGTATAAATAATAATATCATCAGAACCACCCACTCAAATGCTGTTATTTGCATAAATTAAATTCAATGTTTATTAGAATTATTTAAATGAAACCTATTTAAATATATTACATATAAATATGCTTCATCGATGGCTGCTACTCCTTATTTTTAAGGCGAATGCCAAAACACTTTTAGGTCTAAGCGGATGACGATCTATGCCCTGTTTGAAATCGCATCTGTTGCACAACTCTGAAAATGGATCAGAATTCAACCATTGGAGGGATATTCTGGTTTTTGGGAAGTACTTTTGAATAAAGCAGTGAGGATTTCTGGATGGATATTTAACCCTTTCAGACCAAACGAAGCCAAATTTACAGAGGCGTAATTCTGCAACATTTCTGGAAAATTCCAGCGGTTTCTTAAAGGGGAGACGTTGCGCTTTCCAGCCAATGTCGGGTTATTACGGTAATTTCACCCCCGCCATTGCAGCGAGTTGGATTAATTTGATGAAACTCTCTTTTAATAGATGGTAAATTACAAAAATAACTTGCTAGATATTGAAAGGCCTCGTAGTTATGGATAAATGAGCAAATATATTTACTCACAGTACATGTAAATAACTACGTACAACTAAAATAAACAAAAATATTCAGAGTGACATTTGAAATTAGAGAGTTATAAGTAATTAGATTTTTAAAAGACAAAATTGTTCACCTTAAATTCAGCAGTGCAACTGAACTGCTGAGGTTAAAATCTTAACCTTCTGGTAATAATTCCTGCTGGTACCCCAAACTGGGCGGCCACGACCAGCAGGTGAGATCCACTTTAGTCATCTCACTTCAAGCTAACTCCTCCACATGTTGTGAGCAGATGTTCCCCTGCTGGTGACCTTTCTCCAGGTAATGGTGCATAAAAACGCACATGTGTCCAAACTTGCTGAGGTGACCCTCGCTGGTGGGGCTCTGTGATATTTAGGAGATTGTTTCTGTCTCCCTCCTTGTTGCAGAGGATGATGTAGCATTAGACACATTCGCACACATGATGTAGCTATAGACACATTCGCACACTGTGGCTCTGATGACTCTACCCTTGAAGCGCCAGCGCTCTAACCTACATCTGACTTTTTGCTTTTAAGACATGAACTGGTCTACAGGGGATGAGGTTTGGAGTCAATTTTATATTTGTTTTAGCACTTTTAAGCAATTCTGTGATCTGGGTGATTTCACAGTCCATTAAGCTCCACTTGGATGTTGCAAGAATACAAGCTTGTTGAACTCCTGAGTTTTTGTTGCTCTACATTTGCACAATTTAACATGTGGCTACTCAAACGTCACAACAATGACTCACCAGGAAAATGCCAAAATCCATGAATAAGTTCAGACACCAAATATACCTTAACATGCATCAACATGTACAGTGTAAACTGTGTTAGCATAGAAGCTAACATTCATGATCTTCCTTATTTCTGCTCTTTGAGGTTCAGCAAATCAGGGTCAAGAAAAATGTCAGGTTGTTTTGCAAATGCCAACAAACAGCATGTCAAGTAGCATGGTGTCTAAGTATTTCAGCTTCCAATCTGCATTTTCTTTGCTCTATAAAAAATATATATAATCTGTGAACCGCAAACATTTGGAATTTCCTCCAACAAATAATTCACAAATAGGTGAATTCACAAATTAACCAAACAGGCACGGTTACACTGTAATTATTTGATTTCATGCTAAGGTATGCAGCCACTCTGTATGTACCAATGAACATTTTATGTCTTTATCATCCCAAGTGCTTAGAGTGGCTGACCAGACTTCTCAGTAAGGGCATAACAGGAGCCGTTTAATGAGATGTTGAGTATTTCTCCAGAAAGTGAACATTGCTTAACAAAGAGAGTCTAAGATTTGATCTTAGTCTAAGATATTCTTATTAATAGCAAATTAGCTACAAAGACAAAGAAGCACTCCTAAAACTGTTTCTTTATGGTTTCAAGAAGAAAAAATACCATCTATTGACTTTAAAAGTGACCTATTATGCTTCTACGAACAGGTAAGGATACAAAACATGTTCAGCACAATTTTTGATAATCATTCTGCCTATTTTGAGCTCCTTTCAGATTGAGATGTTTTAGGGTCTCTTGTCACTTTAAATCCAAATAAGCTGCTGGCCACGCCTCCCAAAATTAGCATTTATACAAAACGCACAAAAATGGCTGCAAACAGATGCACTATTATGCAACTGAACATCTTTGAAAAGCATAAGTAGGGTCCCCTGCACAAGCAACAAAGGATTTCTGACTGGTAAGTCAACAATCTTTTCCAGCAGCCATTGTACGGAGCATTCAGCAGAAAAAAACAGCTGACTAAATCTGCTGGAACTCTGGTTGGGTTGCGAGGTAACAGACTGAGCTTTGCTGGGGTTGCCAGGTCATGGCGGTGCCTGCTGATAGATTTTTGAAACGGCTCATTTACCAGACGCCAAAGAAAACATTAACTTATTGCCAAAAAACTTCAGTGTTTTTTTTAGAAGCAGTAGAAACTCAAAAGAAAGTAGAACATTGAGAAAAATATTAATATTTGCACATTATGTCTCCTTCAGCCAATATGACCTCGCTTTTCAATTCAGCAAAATCTAAATGAACTTTGACATAATGACAAAACAGAAGGACGTAATTTCAAGAAAAGAATCTGAAACCACAGGTATGAGATAAAACTCAACAAAACTAGAGGCGTTTTGTTGAGAATGTGCAGAATGTGTGATTCACATGTACATTTAATGTGCTCTGTATGGATATGGGTCATCCTCGTGTACTCACGGTGAGCTGTGAAAGGTGACAAATGGCCGGGTCAGTGGGGTTGAGGGCAGCGGTTCTCTCAAACGCTCCTGCGCTGTGACCACTCACCTTTGACCTCTGGCTGGCATGGCGCACCTGTTTGACGTCAGCGGACAAGAGGCGACCGGCAGGCGTCCGAGACGAGCAATCCTCCTCGGTGTCCGAGAAGTGCGCCTGTGACGATTCGGTTCCGAAATGAGTGACTTGCGACTGGAAGGCTTTGTGGATGGAGGAGTGAGACAGACATACCAGATGAGACATGAGGTACACTCACTGATTCGCTCTCGGACTGGGACGAGGCGCGGTGCCTGCCGGGGCCTTTGCACTCTGATTGGCTGGTCAGCGTCGATCGGCGCGTGGACTGCAGGCTGCTGCTGCTGTAGCGGTCCCTGCCGGCGATGCACAGCAACATGCCCAGATACGGTACGTATCTGCTGATGGCCGATCTGAGTCAGAAAGAGACGCAGGTAACACGCTCAGGAGGCAACTTCACTTTAAGGACACGATTTTATCGACACGATTTCATCGTTCGGTTTGGAAACAGACGATAAATTACAAAAATAACTTCCTAGATATTTAAAGATCCAGTTGTTATGGATAAATGGGTAAATATATATTTACTCACAGGACATTTAAAAGACTGTGTACAATTAAAATGAGCAAAAATGTCCAGCCGTAAAGTTGAAGCAGAATCTTTTTGATTTTGAAGATTTTATTTTTGGAAAATCTGGAATTTTTTTCCCACTAAAGCACTCCGTTGGTTTCCAAGGTTTAGAGCGACGTCAGCGCGTTTAAGGCTTATTTTCGTTTTTGCCTAAATGCTTCTGTTCATTTAGTCTTTGAATTAAGGTCAAATATAATGTAATATTAGTCCCATTTATTTTTAAATTACGGTACAAGAATAAAGTCATAATGTTAATAGAACACAGTAAATATAGTGAGAATAAAGCAGTAATTTTATGAGAAATCCAATTCAACTTGTGAAGCTGTGCTTTAGTACATTTAGCTTTAGTGAAGCTACAAGGAAGCATGTTTGCAATTGCCAAACAAAGAATCCAGAAAAAGTAGAACATTTTTGATACAGTTACAGCTGTTTGTTATCAATGATTATTTTATTGTTGATCAAATTGACTAGTTTTTACATTTGTGACTTTTCCAAAAACTGACCTTTTGTAGGAACTATGACTGTAAATTAAGGAAAGATGAAAATTTATTTGTATTTTAAAGCGTTTTTTGCACTTTTTAGCAACCAGTCATTGTTACTGAAAAGAAACATCTGACAAAACCTGCAGAATTACAACCTTATGTTCCTTGAAATTACAGTGTTATATTCGATATTAGATCTAATTCATCAGGTCTTCATTAAATCTGACAGCCAGCAACTCATGATCTATTTCTGACACTTATCAACCAGCTTCATATGTGCAGCATGATGGTAATTACAGATAAACGAAACGGGATTGAAAGCTATATAGTTACAATGGTTACTAATACAGGCAATTTGTTAAACATTTTTTATCAAGTACTGTGGAAAATGTGAATTTTTGCAAAATGCCATTTTCCAGAACTGAAAATGACATCTAAGCATGTTTTTATTTCTCCTATCGATGTTTTAAATGAATGAAAACCATGATGAATCGTTTTGAAAATTATTTTTCTTTTCTCAGTGTGAAACTAAAATGTTTTCCTGATGACTAAAAAATAAAATAACTGTTTTATTGTGCTGCATTCTTCAAACAGACATGCAGAAGTTTCTTAATTAAAAACTCAAAACAAAAGAAACCTTAAAGTTCGGCTGTATTTCTGTTTTATAATCTGAGGAAGAGAAACAGCATCGACTCACATCCTACCTGTATTTCGGATGCGTGATGGCGTATATGATGGGGTTGTGAATGGCTGAAGCTTTGGCGATCACAGCAGGAACTGTATTCAAGTAAGGAGTCAGTAAGTCGGCGTACCTGGGAGAGAAACAATGAGACGCGTGAGGCGACAGGGAGAAGAATGAGAGCAGGAAATGAGGACCAAGTGAATGATGGGAGTTATTAAAAAGAGCAAAAGACCTGAAACTTTTTACATAATGCTTAAACTCTGGTCCTTTTCACGTTTTCATACGTTATATCAGCTTTTTTATTTATCCGACTGGCTGACATTTATGACAGTTTTGTTGAGAGGAAAAAATAACAGTTGAATTTTTTAGTGAGGACGTGGCTAAGATAATAAAGCAACATTTTCTTTCTCTGTTGGCGAGTCATTTTTCTTGACCTGAAATACAATCACAAAAACAATTTCATGCAAAGTAAAAAAAAACAACAAACGTGATTCCCTTGTGCTTGTAAAATAGGCAAAACAGGATCCTGTTTCACTAAAGAATTTACACCCCAAGAAAAGATACATTTGACCTTTTTTGCAATAATTTTCTTTCTTGCTTTCTTTTGAAAATAAAAGCATTTTTCTCAGCAACAAGAGAAAAAATGTGGGACAATTTGCAGGCGAAGAAAGAGATGAGAAATATCCAAAGAAAAGAAGCAAAAGGAACAAAAACTAAAGAGATTACAGTGTGTACATTTCAGAGTGTGTGAGTTTTGTATTTGTAGGTTGTGAACATTTTGAAATAACATTTAAGATATCAGTGATTTAAACAATGTCAAGAAGAAAGAGGAGTCATAAAACTGAAATCAACAGAATGAATAAAATAAATAAATCATCTTATGCCAAGACGAAAAGCTGCTCATGATGCTCCAAACAAGCAAATCTGCTGTGATAATTGACATTAGTGCTGCTATCTGGTTGCATTCTCACCCACATGAAAAAACCCACCAAATAGCCGGATGCAGGTTAGTGCAGGTTCAAACAGTCATTTATGCAGCTTTTGTTTTTGAGATCTTTCATCATTTTTCTTCAGGCGATAACTGACTCCACCTAAACTGATGACGTCGGTGGTCTGCGCTGGACATCAGCACCACAAAGCAGCAGTTATTCATTTCGTATGCTATCGTGGAGGTTAAATTTGGCGGATTTTGCAGCTGTTGTACAATGTGTGCCTCCTTTTGTTTCGCACTTCAACAAAGATTTAGAACAGGAAGGACTTTGTCTCATTTCAAATAATGTTTTTAGAAGGTAATGTTATCTTTCTCACCAATATTTTAAGCTCTCTCCACAATAATTAACTCCAGCGAAACAAATATTTTAACAGCACAAACCTGCAATAAAAAAGTAGCCCAGGGGGTTTATTTTGGAGCGAGATGGGGGGACTGGTGACCTCTAGACAACCTAAAAAATAACTTTATTTCTCAGAAACCAAAACAGCACAAACGAAAACTTTAACGGCACAAACTTGCAGTAATGGAGCACTAACCAATTTTTCACGTGGGTGGGGTGTCAGCTTCTCTCCTTCTCAAATTTGTTTCCTGATTTGAAGCACTCACCTCCAAATTGCGCATGTACTAGTACACTTGGGGACAAAGGGGAAGCGCTTCAGGTTTCAGTTCAAATTAAAAACGTAGCCACACCAATGTCTGAGAGAAACCGTGACATTGTACTTAGAGATGAAAAGAAATCAGTTTGAGAAAACAAAAACAGAGCAGCACGATTTGTGGGAACACAGAAAACCACGTATATTCATTTTCTTATGGTGCTGGTATAAAACCAAAACACTGACGCTGTTTTCTCCTTCACATTCGTACTGAAACCCATCAAGGTTCTTGCAGAAACTCTACATATTTATTGGGAAATTTCATTAGATGTATCTGGATGTAGTTTTGTGATGAAAGCTGCAGATTTTCTAAATTTGCTGCAGTGCAGCTGCTGGAAACAACAGAGCTTTATTTATTTCATGTGACAGAGTGTTAAAGGTTAACCGTAGGGAGCATTATCCCGCTGTCGCAGTGATTTCTTTTTTTTTTTTTGCTCACATATCTACCATGTAACCTTTACAAATTTATTTGGATGAATAAATTAATAAACAGGGAAGAATTGCCCCATTTCATTTGTTCGAAAACATAAAATATCTGCTTTATGCAAATTATTTAAACACTAATTTGTTTAAATGATTAATGTTTAATTATTTAAACAGATTAAATAATTAGACAAGAACCAAGCTAATCAATACACAGAAGAAAGAGCTTGAGAAAGTTAATGTTGCTGTAACTTTAATGGTTAGAAAATCTTCAATACCTTTTACTGAATCTAGAAGATTTATGTGTTATGAGAAAAAAGGCAAGCAGGCAGAGACTTGAAACTTCAGCAAATATTTCAAGAAGTGCATTATCTTGACTTAATATTTATGGAAATATCATTTCACTTACTGATACTGCTTTTTACAATGACAGTCAGTAAAAAACAGGATGACGCATGAAGCAGCTTTACTGATATTTTTTACATCTTAGTTGATGTCCAGACTGCTTTATTATAAAAAAAAAAACACCACAAATGTAGTGCTTCACTGAGTCTGAGTCCTGCAACATAGTAAATAATTTCTCTTAAGCAGAAATGTGCACACATCCAGGCACTTACCCTGCAAATGCAGTGAGGGCTGCACAGGAGTACGGAGCCCAGGAGATGACAAACAGCAAAATGACGATTAAGGCGATTTTAGCCATTTTCCATTCACTCCTCATTTTATGGAACCTCTTTGCAGAGTCTCTTCTTCCTTCACAGTTGATCTTTGTTATCGCTCTGCCAACCACACAAGATTAACATTTTTTGCTGTATTTTTTGAGTAATCCAAACAGGAGTTTGTCTCTGTGGGAGGATGTTGGTGCTGACCGTGAAGAAATGCAGATGTACCAACCGTGTTGTGTGGCGGATGGCTCTGAAGATGCCGCAGTAGCAGAAGATGATGATGAAGAGAGGAATGAAGAAAACAAAAGTAAAGAGCAACATGGTGTAGGAGCGCACCGAAGGGGTAAAGGTCATGTAGTCCCAAGAGCAGGAAGTCATCAGACCCTCAGGGACGTAGGCACCTGCGAGAGGAAAAACACCAATTTGGTTTTTATATGATCAGATTTATTATTTTCAAGAACTTTAAGTTGAATACATGAGACATTTTGCCTTCGATATGCCAGTTCCTGAACATTAAAGGTTTAATGATTTTATGACATAAAGCTCTTCGAACTGCCTTGTTACTGAAATTTGCTCAACAAATAAACTTGATTGATTGAATAATTGCTTGATTTTTGCATCTGTTTATGGATTGGATTTTGTGTGCCCAGTGTCTAAAAGCAAAAGAAATGTTTATATTTTTATTTTCACAAATAAAAAATTAGATACAAAGATATAGATTGATAAAAATTTTGATAAATGTACAGAGAGATAAAAATGCGTAAAAATGTAAGACAGACAGACAGGTTCATTATGACCTAAACAGCCCCTGTAGCTTCATCCTGACTCTCCTCCAGCTTCCAGAGGAAACGTTTCCAGCCGTCTGTCTGTGTTTCTACTCACTCCAGCCGAAGAACGGGGGAAGGCTCCAGCCCACGGAGTAGAGCCAGGCAGCGGCCACGAAGCACAGAGCTTTCCTGTGAGACATGACTCCCAGAGAGGCCAGCGGCCGGGTGATGACAACGTACCGGTCCACTGCGATCACCATCAGTGTCATCATGCTGCAGATGCCAAACAGTGCGCCACAGAAAGCGTACAGTTCACACCCTGGGAAGAGAGGAAGACAACAGAAGAGAAAATGTTGGAATAAATCACAGTACTAAGAATTTACTGCTTTAAACAGTGACTTTTTTTCCCCATATTATGTTCTGTTTATTTATTTCTCCGTCTCAGGGCTTTGCAATCTTTACAACCTAAAGAGCATTTTCACCCAAACCACGCAAAATAAAAGTGCAAATGTCACAAAACTTTTTGATGAAAAACCACTAAGAATTGCAGACAAATATCTACTATAGGAAATTTGTGTTATTTTTAAAATGGCCCCATTTTTATTTCTACTTTGTAGGATTTAAAATAAAGATAAACATAAAATCAATCCTAAAGAAGAGAAAATGTATGTAAAGAAATTAAAAAAGCACAAAGATTTTGACACAATTTTGTTGTGGACATAAATTGCATTTTCAGCATGTGGAGTTTTATTTTCAAATGTTTTACAATGCTGAGCTTTAATTGTCTGTGATTCAAAATCCTGCTGGGGGAAATGAAAACTGGAAACAATGAACATTCCTGAAACAGCAAAATGTTCAAAGCAGCTTTAAACACTTTAACGTGGTTGATTGAAAAGAACCTTAATCACATCTGGAAGGTTGGATCTGGTAGTTAAGAAGAAGACGGTATTTAAACACATTCGTATTTTTCAAAAGGACAGATACCTTAAAGATGCCTGCAGAGGTTATTAAAGATCCTGAAGCAGCTCAGAAATGCATCAAGGCCAAACAAGAGTTTAAATGTGTTTAATGAGCCACATTGCAATATATTCTCAACAAATATACTTGTTTTCTGAGGCAGATGGATCTGGTTTCTTGGTTGGTCTGGAGAATATTCATTAAATCAGGTCAGACAGAAAAGGAGAAGGTTAATTGAACATTCTGCTGACCTTCATGTTTTCACTTTAAATCTCTCAGGTTTGTTCGTCTGATTTAACTTTTAAATAAAAATGCACTCTTTGCGTTTCAGACTGAATGCACATGTCTTGAATTTGACAGAAGAAGTGAAAATTGCACAGATGGAACAGTGCAACAATATAGTTGTTGTTTTTTTTTTAATCTAAATGTTCAAAGCGTTTCTTTCCATGGTTAAAACCAGTTCCTTCCTGGTCCTAAAACAGAACTATTAACAATACCAGATCTGTGTCGCATCATTTCACCATGTAAATACTTTTTGAATACATTTTTGGTCCTTTGTCAGCTTTATTTTAGATTCTGTGGAGGATCACAGAGCAGGGAGACAGTTTGACAACTAAAACCCCATTACTAATCTCAGGATCCTTGCAGAGATGCCCCAATATCACAAATATGGAAATGGCATTTACAGATTCATCCGAAAATGTCAGCACTAATCGCGGCTCTTTGTGACACAGTCTTACTCTCCATGATGGCTGGAACACAAACAAAATGCTAAACGATACGAGACACTGAGAACTTGTTATTCCAGAACAAACCCCACGTTTCATTAATGTTGACTCTTTTTTATTGATTCATTCATTTTTATCTTTAAGTGTGGGTGGGACTGGCTGCCTGAGGATTTTTATTCTGGCCCTGTTGAAGAAAATGTTTCATATTTTACATACATTTAGATACATTGATGCACTGAACCCCAGTGAAATCCTCCTGGTTCTTCCACCAAATATTGATCTCTGAACTCCAGAGTTAAAACATTAGTTTTGTTGTTTCTAAGTGGACATAAACTTGTTTTATTTGCATTATTTGAGGTCTGAAAACACTTCATCTTTTTTATTATTTTGACAATTTCTCATTTTCTACAAATGAATATCAAATTTTTGTTTGAATTTCAGAGACATGTCAGTAGATCATAGAATAAAAACTAGAAAAAGTAAAATTAGAGAAACTGATCATTTAAAGTCTTATTTTTTTCTAGAACTGTAGAAAATTTGTGATCATATTGTAATTTTGAATTTCTTTGTTAAAAGTACAGGATATTAATATAATATAATATATTATAACATAATATGATATTTTTGCGATATTGCTCTCACACCGAGTTTTAAAATACAATCTTGTATTGTGTTTCAAGTTTATCAGGTGGATCTTCTTAAGTTTTAGAATAAAATATGTAATTTCTATAAAATGATACACTTTTTATAATTATTTGTGCCCTGGGTAAAGAGGCATCTCACACTAAAACCTGAGAAACAGATTCTTTATTTTCTTTTGCTGTTTTTCCATAGAAACTCATATGCTAAGAAATTAATTTAATTCTCACAAATTCACAGAGAATCCCTTTAAAAAATTTATATTTTATAAGATTTGACTGTTTATTTCTCCTACTACTCTCCAGTTAGGAGTTTACCTACAATCAGTGACTTTAGGATTTTAATTTGAAAAGTTTCCAACATAATCAGATTTGCTGAAAAGCTTCATTTGAATTGATCTCAAAATGATTAAATGTCCTATCCAGTTGGATTGTTTTTAATTTTTTTACGCTGCTGGAAATTAAAGATGAATTTCTGAGAGTGTCGTGAACAAACATCACCTTTTTTCCCAAAGATCCAGTGTTTATGCATGCTGGTGATGAAGAAGATGGGCGTCTGTGTGAGACACATCAGGAAGTCTGTGACTGCCAGGTTGATTATGAAGATGTTGGACGGCGTCCGAAGGCTCCGACTTCTGCACACACACACGCAGAGTGGTTGAAATGCACCTCTAATTATTAGCTCATTGGACAATATTCATCAGGGATGAAAAAGCCTCGAATACCTGCTGAAAGCGTAAATGACCAGGAAGTTTCCCAGCATGCCTGTGATTCCTACAGCCAGGATGACGACGCCTATGGTGTAGTGTGCGTGTGCGGGGACGTTTACCGTCGGAAACGCGTGGGCTGGGACGATGGCGTCCTGGTCCTGCTCAAAGAGAAACCAGAGATTTAAGGAAATATAAAGTGACAGTGAGTGGTGCAGTTGGCAGCTGCCGCTTTGAGGGTAGAAAGTCCTGGGTTCGATTCCCGGCCCGGCGTCTTTCTGCATGGAGTTACCAAGGCACCCTCGGAGGATGCTTCGGTTAATAATGTCACTTTTAATGGAAAGTTGATCATTTTAATTCAAGTTTTTGTTAAAAGTGTCATTGTTTACAGAGTGACACTTTATAACGTAAACATTCATAAAACTCCCTCATCTTGATGACAGGTGTTATTTAGGCTTATCCACATCCGTCAAACGAAGTGTTACCCGAAAACCCAACAATTTTCTTTCTTAAAGTGATAATGAATTATGAATAGGCCCGTCAAAATAAACAATAAATTAATTAATCGATCAATAATTCTTGATTTATTGCTTTCTCTGAATAATACAAATCTTCAGTCTGGTGCTCTGAGCTCAACTGTCCCTTTTTTTGATAGATACATTTGCTGACATAGACTTCAGACTTTATTTGATAAACCAGCTCAGAGCAGCAATGCGTTGTTTCTACCACCTTTATGTCACTTCCTGTTTAAAGTTGACATTTAGGAAAAACATTTATGACATTTATTTATACCATATCAGAGGGCAGGGTTGCCCTCTAACAGGAAGTTGCTTTTTCCAGCTGAGTCGCTTCACCTGAAGGCATCACAATGTTATATCCTTGACTGCTTTTCTTTTGTCTTTCACTGAGCTCGTTTCAGGCAGATGCTCAGCCACCCACACATACAGTCAGTCACACATCATCACCAAGACTACCTGAGCTGGGCCCGGTGTTTAACGGGAACTCACACACCCACACACACACACACACACACACACCCACACACACACACAGATTGTCTGCTTAATCCTGGATGCATTCGCCATGATTTCTGTGTTTGACATCTGTTTCAGCAGTCCTACGTCTCTAGAGTTTCACCATCATGCACACAGCGTAAAGAGGGCATTTAGTAGCAGGTTGTGTGAGCCAGGGAGTGAAAAGGTCATGGGATGCTGTAGGGAAAGAAAGAACAAGTTTTAAATTTATGTTGTTTCCGTGTGTTGAATATAAACAACTCGTCCTGCTTGATCTCTTTATCTTTTGGTTTTCCAGATGATTTCCTAGCTTTTCCACTGAAATCTCTTTCTCTCTCTGCTCTACCTCAGCTTCCTCTCTCCTGTTGCCTCAGCTCCAGCAGTTAAGGACCAGATTAACTCCGATCACACGGCAGACGCGGCGGAAAGGGTGAAATCCTCTCTGTTTTCTGTGGGATTTGAAGAAAATGGTGGGAAGTAATGTCCCGCTATGTTTTCTGGGGGTGGGGTTGCCTCTTGTAATTTGAATATAAATGATCTGGTTGATGTTTAATGCACAGTGACATTAAAACAGACAAGGATAAACAAATAAGATAAGAAAGATGGTGAAGATTAAATATTGACAAGAGGATGAGAGAAAACATGAGGCGACATAAATGAATTAAAGCAAATATAAACTAGAAAGCGATCTTATAGAGAAATACTTACAGGATTTTTAAATTTCCTTCAGATTCAAAAGTTTCCATACATTTTCTTAGTATTTAATGTAATTCAAATACGTCAAATCTTTTGGGTTTAACTCCATACATTTCTCACATTTTTCAATTTTCTGAAATTTTGACAAATTGTTTCAGACAGAACGGCTGTAAGCTTCGCTGCTCTCCCTGCCTTTTGGGACTGAGATCAAGGGAAACATTTACATTTTTACACTCCATTTTGTAACTTTTGTAAGTCTATTTCACATGTGTCAAACTCAAGGCCTGTGGGCCAAACCTGGTCCGCCATGGCTTGTGATGGCGGACCAGTTTGTCGGTTCTAGTCTGAACTCTAAATATTTTATCAATAAACTTAATGCAGTTTGTATCTGTCCACTATCAACACAGCAAGAAATAAAAAGTTGCATTTGCTGACATAAATAAGTGCAAATATTGCAAAAAATATTTAAAAAAACATTTAAGAAATAAGAAAAAGTATAATTAATTTAATGCTATGATTAATTGAAATGTGTAATTCAATTGAACAATTTTTTTTTTTCATTGTATTGCGATGACATTTGTCATGGAATAAACTGAACTGGATGAAGTTCAGTTTATTTTTCACATGTTTTCATCAGTTTCTCCTTCAGCAAAACGGCCCCACATCATGATGCTGCCTCTCTCATGCTTCACAGCTGGGATGGTGCTCCCAGGTTTGCAAACGACGCCCTATTTGCTAAAATGTAACATTGATCATTTTGGCCAAATACCACAAGACAGCCTCATAAAAAAATCTCAGTTTGTTCAAGGATTTCTCAAACAAACAACCATGAATGAGTCAAAGCAACTGACAGGAATGTTTCTGAGGAGGGAATAACATTGTAAAAATGATTGAAGGTGAAAAAGCGTCAAATTTCCCCCTTTAAAAGTTGTCAGAAGCTTCAAAGCCATAACATCGTCACCTCAGCTTTCCCAAATCATTTACAGGGATTGAAATCTCAGTCTACAACCGCTCTCTTCGTCAATCTTTATGTCTGTGTAAATAGACATAATTTCCCTAGTTGACCAATAAAGGTCATATTCAGTCTACAGTAATGTGTTTATTGTCTTTTTCTTGCATATGGAAATGTTTTGACCCAGCTGTATAGCTGAAGGGACATTTCTAATTGAGAACAGTCCTGATTATATTCTGATTTATTTAGACAACTTGGCCTCATTATCACAGTCTGTTGTCACTCAGACACTATTTTGACTCCTGAAAACACAGAACACAGCTGAGTAATTACACTAATGAACAGGCTTATTTGCTAAAGGTGATGCAAAGATGATAGTATTTCAGTTTGAGGGGGTTGTTTTAGTGAGATATAGTTCTGTGAAAAAGTATATACCCATGATGTACAGATTTTTTTCCTTATTTTTGTATCAAACTGAAATAATTCAGATCAATAAGCAAATTTTTTTCAAACAGAGATAATATAGCCGCTGTCAGATTATTGTTTGATCTACTGAATGAAATGCAAAAAAAGTTAACAACTCGTTAGCAATTAGTTAAAAGACCTCAAAATGCAACATCATCCAAATAATAAACTGTCAACACAAAAAGTCATTGATGTCTAAAAATCTGGAAAAGTTTACAAAGTTATTTCTAAATGAGCATTCTCTCCCGTCCGGTTCAGTGCGATTTAGTCAAACTCTAGTCCACTTGTCTAGAAAGTCCGGTTCATCTGGGGAAGGTGTGAATTCGTAATCGAACTCTGGTCCACCTAAACCCAACGTTACCGTCAGGTTGAAGTGAACTCTGCTGCAGTTCGAATGCATTTGTGTCTGCGAAGTGGACCATCAACAGTTCCAAAATCAGGAAGAGGGCTAAAAAGAATTGCATTCTGGGTAAATACAACTAAAACAAAGATGTGAGAGAGAAATGGTTTGTGCTTGTTTACCAACAACAAGAGAGGAAACCCCTATAACTTCTAAAATCAGACTCTTCTCCATTTTGTTCACATTTTATGAAAAAGGAAGTTGAGCTCAATGTCTTCTTCTGTGGTTTTTGTGTTGTTTCCTTCAGTAGTTCTTGGTGTGGCGCCACCACAGGGAAGGGGAGGGACAGGTTTTTCAAAGGGTTTGCATCATTTAACGCAAACCCCAGCAGCTGAAAATGTAGCAAATGTTGCAATTCTGGTCCCCAATCAACCCGACTCTACTGGACTATCAGGTGTGAAAACACCCTAAAACTTTGGCACACGGGGAACCAGCCAGAGATTCATAATCCACAACCGGAGAAATGAACTAAAATTACTCCAAGAGCTCATCAACGATTCAACCAGAAGGTCACAAAACCAGAACAACCTCTAAACTTGCCTCTATTAAGGTCAAAGTACAAGTTTTAGCAATTGACCCAGAATGGCAAACCTCCAAACCAGAACCAATGCTGACCAAAAAGAAACCAAATGTAATCTTAAGATGAAGGTCAAATGAAAGGACTCCATCAGATTCATCCTGATTGATTAAAAATAGAAAGCATGAACCCAAGTGAACATCTTTCAATCAGCTGCGCCATAATTTCCTCTAAGAGTGTTTTCAAGCTTAGACCTTCTCTTTCTTCTTTTTTTCTCATCTGAAAAATGTTGGTGGTTCCTCTCCTTTCTGACGAGCTGTCAGTGACAAACCTGTCTTTCTAAAGGTTTGTCACTGTCTTTCTAAAACCACAATGTTGCAATCTAATAACTATGCAAATAATAATTTCTCCCAGCGACATTTGAACACGGCTTCAATTCAAGAAGCCGTTGCTCACATCCTCTGAGAAAACTTACATTTTCAGGCTGTTTCTTGTGGCTTGTCATCATGTAACTGTCTGCTTGGAAAATCACATCTATAACTGATTTTCACTCATGTCAAACACTCGCAGTAATGTTTTGATTCAGACATTTAAATTAAAACTGTCCAGAAAGCTAATCGGATAAAATTCTGGGATTTTTGGCATGGGTGAAATGAAGCAGTGCCAACAAATATGTGGTTAATATCCAGATCATCTTTAACACGGATGGGAAAAAATAACTTCTGAGTAGTAAAATACACACAGTCAAGATTTTGTTTGACTTCCTCAGCTCAGTTAAAATCTCACATTTTCAATTGTTTCTAGCATGAAGAGTTCACTTCTCTGCCTGTTGAATGCAGATAAAAACAACTCCCAAAAAATGTATTAAGGAGCAGTGCAACACTTCATTTGAAAGGATGTCCATAAGACTGACATAATACTGAATTAAAAGTCTGCTAAAAGTGTCAACTTTGCATTAAAAGAGTAAATGACGCTTTGCGATGACAGTCTTTCCCCACTCTTTTGCGTCCAGTCGCTGTTTGAAAAGCTTCAAATGCCACAAATGCTGGACTCTGACTAGAGAAACACTTAACTTCACACAATGTTTCTGAGTTGAGGAGCTGCCAACTTAAAAAGAA